AGGACAATCCTCTTCTACCAGAAAACAAAAGACACACTAATGAAGTGCAGAAGAAACAGAAACAACCAGATTGGAACTTGACATGAAACAAACTGCCGTGGCAATTCTCAAAATAGTCTAAAAATCCTCTCCAAATGCTACTTCATTCTAATCTACTTCTCCATAAAGGTTACTTCTGTATGACTTCTCCAACATTTCCCTGGCACACTGTGAATCTTTCAATATGTATTTTAAAAATTCTGTTTAAATAAAATTTTTAAAAATTCTATTACTCATGCAATCACTAATTATTACTTTATTTCTTATGCTTGAATATTTCTAAAATGCAGTTTTACTTCTAACAGAGAAAAAAATAGAAGCTTTGTAAGGTACATAACAGTTGAAGTTATTTCCACTTTGATATCTGAGTTAAATTTGCTTATATGGCAGCATTAAATAATAACTGCTGCTAAATATGTTCTTCATGCAAACAGCATTCCACTCCAAAACTGCTAATGTTCTTTCAACGGCTGTAGTATGACAGTTACTTTAAGTGCGTTAAAAATGCTTTTTTACCTAAAATTGCGATTAAAAAGTCACTGTTTAAAATGCGTATCATAAAGTTACTGGAAAAAGTATCTTTGTGTTTATCATCACAGTTTATCAAAAACAGAAACAAAAGACATAAATCTTTTTAATTACACATATAGACCTTTTTCTTCTATCACAGTGCTCTCTATCTTGCACAAACCTATACAGATACACTGGTATAAACTACTGTGTCTTTCTCAAAAGTTTTATCACAGAAAGTAAATCACCAAAGTGGTCATAAGCCTAAGAAATTAAATGAAACTTCTTGACTACTGAGTTACTAGGTAAGGCGTGGTAAAGAATTTAAGAAATAGGAAGCTCTGTAAAATATTTATTTCAACATATAAGTTAAAATGTATGTCAAATTATCTTTCATTTTCTTCACCTGTAACATTTGACTTCCAGTTCCATCTCTTAATCTGTAAGGTCTAATAACTCCATCTTCACCAAAGAAGCGAGGTGGGCGCAGGCTTATCACATCTTCTGATGAATCTGTAACTCTGACAAAGCAGCAAAATTCAGGTATGTGTCAGTATCTCTACTGAGTCTAATCTTTAACAAAAGCTCTAAATTATTTTAAATACAAATTAAGTTCAAGTACTGGTACAGTAACTGTTGTTTATATATGTCCTTTGCATATGAATGGACCTATGAAACAGTAGGAAATTTTACTCAGAAATCTGTTTCGGAGAATGGGTCTTTGAAAATTAGATGGCACACCTGCAATACTTAATCAATGTCTAATTATTTTACTTCAAAACTTCAAAATTAAAGACATCTGTGCCATACTGAACTTCTGCTCTGATATTTTTCTTGCATTTCTCTGCTAAGAACTTAAAAGTGAGGAGACTGGCAATCTTATGGCAGCAAAAGTGGTCCAGCTTACAAAGAACAGAGCCATTAAATAGCTGTATCCAGGTGAAGCGTACTGGGTTTGCATTGGTTTGGTAACGCAGGGGCTACAGGGGTGGCTTCTGTGAGAAGCTGCTAGAAGCTTTCCCCATGCCTGACAGAGCCAATGCCAGTTGGCTCCAAGATGGACCCACCACTGGCCAAGGCCGAGCCCTTCAGTGATGGTGGTAGCACCTCTGGGATAACCCATTTAAGAAGGGGGAAAAAAACCCCAAACCAGCAACATTTGCAGGCAGAGGGAGAAGTGAGAAGATGTGAGAGGAACAGCCCTGCAGACACCAAGGTCGGTGCAGAAGGAGGAGGACGAAGTGCTCCAGGCACCAGAGCAGAGATTCCCCTGCAGACCACGGAGAAGACCGTGGTGAGGCAGGCTGTCCCCCTGCAGCCCATGGAGGTTCACAGTGGAGCAGGTGGAGCTGCAGCCCGTGGAGGACCCCACAATGGAGCAGGTGGAGGGACCCAAAGGAGGCTGTGACCCTGTGGAGAGCCTGTGCCAGAGCAGTTGCTGGCAGCACCAGTAGCCCCGTGGAGAAAGGAGCCCACACTGGAGCAGGTTTGCTTGCAGGACTTGTGACCCCGTGGGGGACCCAAGCTGGAGCAGGGGAAGAGTGTGAGGAGTCCTCCCCCTGAGGAGGAGGAAGGAGCAGCAGAGACAACGTATGATGAACTGACCACAACCTCCATTCCCTGTCCTCCTGTGCTGCTGCAGGGGAGGAGGGAGAAAAATCGGGAGTGAAGTTGAGGCTGTGCAGAAGGGAGGAGTGGGGTAAGGTGTTTTAAGATTTGGTTTTATTTCTTATTACACTACTCTGATTTGATTGGTAAATTAAATTAATTTGTCCAAGTCAAGTCTGTTTTGCCCATGATGGTAATGGGTGAGCAATCTCTCCCTGTCCTTACCTTGACCCACAAGCCTTTTGTTGTATTTTCTCTCCCCTGTCCGTTTTAGGATGGGAGTGATAGAGCAGCTTGGTGGGTAGCTAGCCTCCAGCCAGGGTCAACCCACCACATGAAGCTACTAAATGTCCCCCTCAAAACACTTTCTCCTACTTCTTCACACCTTACAGCATGAGATGACCTACAGCAACGGGTTTATTAAAGTGAGACCATCACAGTATTCAACATGCAGTTCTAACACAGTTCTCAGTTTGAACAACCAGGACAGATCCTGGCATGACCTGGTGGTCTTGGAACTCATCTAATATAGTAGTAATAGTACAAAAAGTAACTTTTGATGCATCCGAAAAGTCTTTTTTTTCCTGTGTATTTGGGATAAAAGGAAAAAAAAAAATCAAGAATTGAAGGAAGTCTGATTGTTGAGGCTTTTAAACTAGTTTATTTGGTAATGCTAGAAATAGACCTGAGATTTGATGTTGTCTTTAAAGCATTGGATAAGATTTTTTTCTAGGCCATCTGTATTAATGACAAAGTTGAGAGATCCAGAAACATTGACACAGAGGTGATACAAAGACACAATATACAATTACTACTGCTATTGTCTGTTTCATGCCACACGTTGTTCTTAGTACTTATTTTACTTACTTTTTAATACCCTGAAATGTGCTGCTTGCCATGTCTATGATTCCTCCAGTGGGCCTAGCTACTGCTCCCACTAAGCCTTTTCCAACACCTTTGAAAAAACCAGCTGCTCCTTCTTTCTGGGCTCCTAAAAGGATTAAGTGCAACAAATCAATACAAAAAGAGTTTTTCTTACACTCTTAGCAAATGTAATTACCATTTAATTACAAATCTTATTTGATATGAAACTAGTCTCCTCCACACAAAGTTCATGTAAACATTTAAACTAAAATTCAGTAGGACTATAAAATCTTGATAAAAAGTTTTATAACTCAGATTTATAATGTCTCAAGAAATATCAAGAATTTACCATCATATGAACAGTTAATGCATCAGAAGACCTAAACTTACCTCTTATTGGTTTTGTAACTATTCCTGTAATGCCACTGACAAAACCCTATCAAGAGAAACAAGAGAGACATTACAAATATGCTTTCAGATTATATTTTTCATTTTTTACCTTTTTCTTACTGCTTCATTGGTGAAAAGCCTCAAAGTACGTATGTTGGAATATTCTAAAATTCACTACGAGTTAACAGAATTAGAGGCACCTGCTCCACAGTTCCTACATTCTGTTTCACCCTCACATTTTTCTTTAAAACTATTACTCAAATGTGGTCATATATTTGCAAAACTAGAATTAAAGAGTAACAACTCTGGTGACTACGGCAGCCTCTATTTGCTACTCTTGCCTGCATAAAATTCATTAATTTTTTAATAATTTTTTTCTCCTTACAGAAACTAATCCTTTTCCGCCACGAGTGATACCCTCTCTCAGACCAGTGGGCTGTTTATTCATGGCTTCTCTCCTTTTCTGCTGGTAATCCTCATCCATAGTTATTGCAGCTACTCCTTTTGCCATAGCACCAGTGATTCTTGATGCAGCACCAGCTAATCCACCTATTGGAAAATAAAACAAAGTAAAAGGCCAATGCAATTTACAAATACTCACCTATATTGCTTACTGTTAAGTATACTACCGTGATAACGCTGAAACTTACCAACAGCACCCCCAACTAGTGCTTTAAGTCCTAACGCCATTCCTTCTATAAATTCTTCAGGACCCTGGATGGCTCCCTGAAAAAACCCCCGATGCATTTATGTTATGCTTCAAATAGTATGTATTACATATTTTTAAGTCTTATGTTTTTATTGTAATTTATATATAACCAAGAGAACAAGAGTGCAAGAATGAGTGAGAAAGCATGAAAGAGCTCACATAAGAACCTGTGAGAGAAAGACTATTTAAGGATACTAATTCATTCCCTCAAGTTTGCTTATTTTAAGGCAAATAGAAAAAAAAAAAGCAAATTTATTTTAAAATAAGAACCATAAGAAAGAGTCTTTCCTGAATTAAGTTAAACAGACTACTCTCTCCATTCTATCTCACTTGAGTTTTCCAGTAACTTTTCCTGGCACTTTCACTTCAAATTTTCAATTCTAAATCTAAATTTAAAACCAAAAAAGGTATGATTATACCACATTTTCAATATAATTCATATCTGTCTACTTGTGCTACATTTTGTAAAAAGGAAGTAGAGGTTTTTACCTGGTAAGGTTCATAGAAGAATGCTTCCACTCCTTCAGACAAGCCTCTTATGAATCCAAATGGATTACCCAAGACATCAAGGCCAAGAATAAGAACATACATCTGTTTAATAGCCTAAAATAAAAATAATTATTCATAAAAATATTTCAGAAATTACAATAAAACAAAGGCAGTGTAGTACAACCAAATTAAAAAGTGAAAGTAACATGAGTTTAATGTCAAAAACTCTAAACTATTTTGAAAAGTAGAAGTAGCTTTATTAAAAAGGATCTTAACAGCGAGTAAATCACATTGTCAGCCAAATAAACATTACTTCTTACAAGAATTTCACAATAACTGACATTAATGTGCTTGAGATTTTACAAAGCAAGCACATTATCTACATTTCTTTCATACTATGGGACAAAATTTGGTCTGTTTGTGTACACTGAAAAAACTTTGTTGATTGTCACTGCAAAATGTTATAGCTACATCTATATGAAGTGTAATTTGATTTTTAAAAAAGGCTGAGCATCTCCTAGGAGATCTCAAATTTTCCCTCTGGGAAAAGAAGGGTCAGGGAACAAGAGATAACTCATTCCCCAATTAAAACCTTGTATAAGTTTTTTTCTCCTTTAAAGATGAACAGAACACTAAATTATTATGTCCAAAGAATCCCTTATTATTAATGATGGATGGATGGATAACAGAGGACTAATTTCTTCATGCAAAAGTTTGTGTGCTGGATTCTCTCCATTGGATGACAGGACCTGAACAATACACAAAGGCCAAAGAGGGATTATAATTCCTATACTACTAATGTCCATGAAAAAGCATTAATATTTTGATGCCAATTCTGCTCTATCAGAGCTGCATTGTGTTTGCTTCCACTATCCATTCACGTTTTGTTATCCATGCCACTTTTTCTTCTAGTCATAACCTGAAAATGGTACTTGCCCCCAAAGTAAAGGCAATGGAAACCTTCTAATGAGTAATTGTTTTGTATGTGTTTATGTATTTAACCTCTGTACAAATGTACAAGGCTGAAAGTAATTTTATTTATTTTCATAGAATTAAAGTACACAGTAGTGCCTTAAAAATATAAATTTGCTGAAATATTGAAATTTACTTATTCTAACCTGTTTTGAATAATGCCTTACAACTGCCGATTGGAGCTGCTGTGTAGTACAGAAGTGATAGCTGAGTTCAAAGAATGCCAACCTAAGAAAAAAAAAGGAAAAGAGAAAAAGTAAGTCCTTATTATGCAAAGCAAAATAAAATCTAACATATGTAATATTGGTTTAATCTTTAGAAATAATCTCTACAATCATATTTTCAACATACTTAAAGACAACATCTTGTACATCTGTGAGGGTGGCCCCTATA